TGTCTAAGGCCATATTACTTCCTTATCATTGGCATTATCTTTCTTCAAAATGTAGGGAAAGGTGGTGCACACCTCTAATCTCAATGACTCAGGAGACTGAGGCAGGAGGATTGTGAGTTCAAGGTTAGCTCAGGGAATTTGGCAAGATTCTGTCTCAAAATAATAAAAATTTTTGAAAAGGGGCTGGGAGGGATGAGGATGTAGCTCAGTACTTGCCCAGCATGCCTGAGGCTCTGGGTTCAATCACCAACACTGGGGAGGAGGGAAGTAGGGGTGGTACCACAGTGGTAGAGAATACCTGGGTTCAATCCCCAATAGGCGAAATGCAGGCAAGTCATGTCAATGGTTACCCATAAAACATCACAGGCTAAGAAACCAAATCTAATAAAAAAGAAGAAAAATGCCACCATGTTTACTGGCTGTTAACTTTCTAACTCAGCTCACCAGGATTGTTCTTTTTTTTCACTACATGGAGAGTGGGCCAATTGCTGTCTGCATGGGCGTTTTAAGTATAAGATGAGGACACTGTTACTAACATCACTTCTTCAAAGTGCAAAATATAATAGCACTCCTCACAGGAATTAAATTACCTCTTAACGGACCCAAAAGAGGATTTATTTTTGAGACATTCGGGTTCCCCAAACAATAAGACATTTCCTCAGGTGCTGGCCTTTACAAAGGCAAAATAAGTCATAGGGTGAGGGCGACCCCGCCCTCCCCGCTGAGCCCAAGTGACACTAATAACTTCTCTTGATGGATTTACTGAACCCCATAAGGGACTGTTTCAGGCTCTGGGGAAAGAGTAGTGACAAAAGAGAAAACAAAGATTCCCTTCGCGGGTCTTACAAACAAGCAATTGTTAAGTTTATTGGAGTGGCAAGTGCCAGGGCAAGATGCAGAGCGCGGGGACAGTGCTAAACRGCAGAGGGAAGGTTACCCATTAGAAACTTAACGTCCTTTCTGGGCTACTCCCGCCAGCCCTCTAATTTGAATACGAATTTAGCCATTTGGGTCCCCTGTGCCCGTCTTCTGTACCCAAAGAACAGGAAGGTAACAATGGGATAGAATTCCCCAAGTCCCTTTCCAGGATGACCGCCCGAGGGAGACTATGAAAGTGCTGATTTTCTTCCTGCGCAGGAGGGTTCCTTCCGTTTTATAGCATCTGCAAAGACTGGCAGCAGCTCCAGGACCCCAGCGATTCCGCTTCTGGGGGTGTCATTGGGTCAGGGCGGGACCCAGCGCCGCACCCCGGCCTCACAGCGCAGCCCGCAGGCGACCGGAGCACAAGGGTGACGCCTCCTGCGCTTCCTGCTTCGCCGCGGGGCCTCCTCCGCGCCGTGACGCGCCAGGCTTTGACCAAATATGTTCCTTTCCCCTCCCTCGTCTGCCCCATCACCCACAGGCACCCCGAACCGCGGGGTTGCCGTTTGGACGTAGGCTTGCCTGTGTGTCGCGGGCCAGCCCCGCGGGGAGCCCCCCCTGCGCGATGCCTTTCAGGAAAGGTAGGGTCCCCCCTGAAACACCCCGCCCTCTGCTCCGGGGACCTGCGTGGTGCCTGCGGGCAAGGGCGGGCTCGGGTCCCTGTCAGGTGCGGAAGCCCAGCTCTCGGGGACAACAGCCGTGCAGGGGCTGATGCTGAGACCGCGCCGCTCTGTCCCCGCGGGTCCCACTTTGTCCCCTTGTTTCTGCACTGTCTCTCCAGCCGTGCCTTGGCCCTTTCGCCCCCTCACTGTCCCCTCCGGCGACTCCGCGGCGACACCACGTGCCGGAGCAGGCGGCACACAGCGCGGGGAGAGAGTCGCAGCACTTTCAGCGAATCCCGGAATCCCGCTGCTTAAGTCCTAAGATGCAGACGGAATAGAGGTCGGGAATTACTCGCTGCGGACGGTCGATTCTGGTGGCTGGAGCTGTGCCGCTTAGTGCGGCTTAGAGCTAGGCTGCGGAGGGGAGGTGGCCACTCGGATGCAAAGCAGATCTGTGCCAGTCCCGTCATTGCCCATTCTCGCCTTCGGACCCCGGGGAAGTCCACCTAGGCTCAGTGCCTTCCTTGGCAAAAATGAGCGCACGAAGAAGGATTGCTGTGTAAGGACCGGGCGACAGGGCACAGCGAAGTAGACCAATGCCCGAGTGAGGTCAGCCTGGCAGCCGCAGGCAGTACTCATTCTGTTTCTACGGGCGCTGCGTTCTGCCATGGCCCCTGCATCTGGACTCACTCCCCATGGCTTTCTCTGCACCTGGTGCAAAGACTCCCAGAAAAGCCCAGAAATGTCTATAGGCTCCTGGCAAGGGTCTCCTGTGTATTTGGCCCCATTTTAAGGTAGGGCAGCAGAGACCCAGTGACTCCCTCAGTCACAGCTTAAGAGCTGGGCTGGAAAAGGTGTATCAGGGTGAAATTACAGAAAAAGAGAAGAAATATGGTGATAGGGTAAAAGAGAAAAGGAATACAACCACAGAGCCACCTTCAGAGCACAGCCCAGGGATAGACGTGGGGGGCAGCAGAAATGCTGGAAGAGGGGGGCTCATTTCACATTCAAACCAGGTCTGTGTGATTCCTGCATTTTCTTTTTGTGTTGAGAGAGCTTGGGCTAAGGTTACCCTTTGTCACTCAGGACCCAAGACTCTCCACTCTTCTGGGTATGTTGCTGATGGGAACTTAGTGAGTTCTGAAACTGTGTCCTGTGACTCTCTGATCCCTCCAACCAACTTCTTTGTCTCTTATAATTTGGGTCAGTTGTCAGGTTAGTTAGTGCTTTGGTTGCTGGGAAGCTGTATTGGCCTTTGTCCCTTAAGCAGAGGGTACTAAGGTACCATTGTAAACTCCTGGCTGTGAACAGGGCTGACTTATGCTCCCTGGAGATAGGGAGTTAGGGGAGGTGGTGAGAAGGCAAAGCGCTGGTCAAAGAGCAGGGGTGGAGTTCTGTCCCATCCTCAGTCAGCTGTTATACTTAGGCCCACTGTGGCTGAACTCAGTGCCTCCGTTGTTCCATGTGTAAGGGGGCCACCTGGTCTCTTGGCTGTCCTGAGGCTCTCAGAGTCCTGCAGTGTGAAGAATCACTTGTCAAGGAGTTCATCACTTCTCTTGCTAGCTTTGAGCTGTGGTTGCTGGTTGCAAACTCCTAGAAGGCAAAGACATCTGTTCACTTGTCTCAGGGTTTGGGGGTTTGCCTTATGAAGATGTCACTTTATGAAAGTACATCTCAGAGTATTATTAGATTACATAGGTCAGAACATGTGTAAACTGCCCCATGAGTTAAGCTTTGCTTCTGTTTGTTGTTTTACTGAAAAGGATTATAGCATGGTGAAGAGAGGATCACCTTCCCTTCCATGGATGCTACTTCCTGAAGGTCCTGGCATGTGAGAAACAGTGCTTGCTTGGAATCAGTGCTATCTGAGTATCTGGTGTGAGCCAACGCACAAATTCTGACAGGCTTTGAGTTGGAGGTAGCGCTTCCCAGATTGATTGAGTGGTGAGCTCTTATTTAGCAAGTGGGAATTGCAGGAAACGAGGGTGTGGTTCTCTTGGTGTCCTGAAGCACTGTCCTCTGAAGCTGCCTGGAGGGGACAGAGCCCATAGTGAGAGGGAACACAGCACCCTATCTCTGTGCTGTTCAGAGGATGGGGAGGTATATGTGTACATACTCTTCTATGCTTTTTGAGTTTTGAGCCCTCTGAATGTATTAACTATTTAACATGTGATTTAAAATAGGAAATGAAAAGACTTTGCTGCCTTCCTCCCAAAATCAGCCAGATGGAGAAGGCTTCCTCAGTGGGACAGAAGCCCAGAAGGATGGCTGCTAATCCCTTTCCATGAGGCATTTCTGTGTCTTGACAAGCCTCAGACTTGGGATCAGCTTTGTCAGGGGCCTGGCAGAAAACACCAAGTAACGGGCAAGCTGAAAAAAGTTTAATGAAGGGCATATTACAAAGGACTGGGGAATGTATAGGGAGGCCCCAGGGGTTACTGCAGAATCCTGGGCATTCTGTCCCAGGTCTAAAATGTTGAGGGGCAGAACAGTTACTGAGGACAGCTGCCTGATGGGAGCCTTCTCAGAGAATCCAGGCAGCTTATAGGCCAGAAAGTAGGAGCGGGGAGAACTGACACCCATACCTTATCCTCTGCTCCTCTGATCTCATGGCATTGATAGTCAGAGGGCCAGAGCCTGATGGTGTTGTCCACACAGGTTAGCCTGCTGGGACATGGTGCTGGATACTGGAGAGTGGATCTGGTGGGACAACAGATAATCACTCAAAGATCTTAGGTCCTGGCAAGGCATGGTGGCACATACCTATAATCCTAGAGACTCTGGATGCTGAGGCAGAGATGAAGGCCAGCCTGAGCAACTTAGTGAGACCCTGTCTCAAAATAAAAAATTAAAAGAACTGGGGATTTAGCTCAATGTTTTAATCCCTTGTCCCAGGGAAAAAAGAAAAAAAATAATTATGTCCTGTGCCTTGCCTTTGGAACAAACCCAATGACCTCTACTGAATTTCATTAGAGCAAAGTTGAGCGAGTATATGCTACCTCATTCATTTATTTATTCATTCATTCATTTTTTTTCCACTGGGGATTAAACCCAGGGGTTCTTTATAATAAAGTACATAACCAGCCCTTTTAAAAAAATATTTATTTATTTATTTATTTATTTTTGTGTAGTGCTGAGGATGGAACCCAGTGCCTCACACATGCTAGGCAAGTTCTCTTTTTTTTTTAAAGAGAGAGAGAGAGAGAGAGAGAGAGAGAGAGAGAGAGAGAGAGAGAGAGAATTTTTTTAATATTTATTTTTTAGTTCTCAGTGGACACAACATCTTTGTTTTTGTATGTGGTGATGAGGACCGAACCCAGGCCGTACTCATGCCAGGCGAGCGCGCTACCGCTTGAGCCACATCCCCAGCCCATAACCAGCTCTTTTTAAAAGATATTTTTAATTTTGAGACACTGTCTTGTTAAATTGCTTAGGGCCTTGCTAAGTTGCTGAGATTGGTCTAAATTTGCAGTACTCCTGCCTCAGCCCCCCAAGATGCTGGGATTACAGATATGTGCCATCGTGCCCAGCTCTCATTCCTTCACTCTCTGCATTGAGCACTTACTATGTGCCAGCATGGGCCAGACACTGGGTGAACACAGAAATATGGGGTCCCTACCTTGGAGTTCATCTCCTATGTTCCCCGACAAGTGCCAGGAAGAGTTATTCAGAACACAGAAGTTCTGAGTAAAAAGGTCCCAGCTAAGGGGACTGGACTCTGGATTGAGAGGGATGTGGCCCTGGTTAACCTCACTGGACTGTTGTAGACTGTGGTTCTGGTGGCTGGAACTGAGCCAGAGGGACTTAAACCTGGTATTCTATTTTTCCAACATGGACCAAAATGCTGTGGTACATGCTAGGTAGAAACTGTAATTTGGGTTAGAATAAATGGTAGCAGCTGGAATCGAGCCACGTTGCCCTTGCTCACTTAAGGCTCAAGCAGCAGCTATGGAGGAAAGATGATAGGACACCGTGTTCAGTGCGCACTTCTCTTACTGTCTGGTCTCCAGGGTGACCTGGGCTGCAGCTGGAGGGAAGGGTGCCTTCCTGGCTGAGCTGTCTGGGAGAAGTGGGTCTCTAGAAGTTGATTCAATTGGTTTGAATACCGAGAAGTTCATGTCCTGACATGAAACATGAAAGAGATCCAAGAGAATAAAAAGGAGCAGGAAGCACATCAACTAGACCTGGAAGGAAAGCCATAAATGTCGTGATTCAGTCTGGGAGGCTGTGAGGGAGGCTGAGGCACTTTGTCCTCTATGAGAATTTTGCCCCTTAAAAAATGAATCTCTTCAGTGGTATAGGTGTGGCTCAGGCTGGGGACAGGGGTCTTGAGGTCTTTCTCATGTCTAGAGTTCTATAAAAATATCTTTGGAAAATGATTTTCTAAGTTTTCTTTGTATGTCCCCACTGTCAGAAGGAACAACATGGAATAATAGCTGAATGTTCTAATATTGTTCTAATAACAATAAGAAATAAAACTAAACTTAGGCGGTCCCTTCTGAATGCTGGGAACTGTGCAAAGCACTTTATGTGTTTCCATTTACCCACCCACCCAGCAGCCCTCAAAAGTTCTTAGTATTATTGCTTCTGTTTGAATGGTAAAAGGAGACTGAAAGACATTAAGTAACTTGCTGAGGTCCCTCAGCAAAATCATGTGATAAAAAGAGGTGGGGCTTAAACCTCTTATTCTGCTTTTTCAACAAGTACCACACTGCTATGACATAACACAACATGACATGACATGTGATATCAGGCAGAAATCATGTACAAGAGTTCCGCCAATAACAGTCAGCAAGGTTTTACATTAGGCACAAGCAGAGAGACATTCAGACGCCTCAGTCTTCTGGATCTGTGGGAGGTGCATGCAGATGGAAGCAGACAGAAACAGCCCCGTGTTCTGCATCTTCCCTGGCAGGATGAGGGGGTCCCCAGGCACTGCTGTCACAGGTGCTAAACTCATAAACCCCAGTTGGGATATTGTGGAGAATGAGCCATCCGAATGTCAAGGCCATGGCTACACGATGCAATAACTGGTCACCCTTTGACCACAGAGGTTCGATGGTTGCTAAGGGAGCATGAGGGACAATAAGTGACAGTGTCACCTCCAGGGATGTAGCATTTCTGGAATTTCCGTAGGCCAGATGCTTGCAACAGGAGCTCAACAAAAGCCATGCCAGCATTTTTGGACCCCCCCAATTTTTTGTTTCCTCACTGGTGCAAAGAGCAGATACTGAAAAGACATCCTTGAGGAGGGAGGCAGGCCAGTCACTGATTCTCTCACCCCTTTCCTGGGCCCTCTGCAGTGCCAGGTACTGTCCTCCACTCTTTTCCTTAGTAGGGTATGTTCTGGGGACTCTCTGTTCTCTCTTGGTGTCTAGGAACCTGCTGGCCATGAACTGGGTTCCTTGGTAATTTCAGAGACTTTCTGTAACACCAACTTTAACATGCTCCCCTGGGAAAGGATACCCAAGGAATGACATCAGTTTTGGGAGGGCACCTGACTACCCAACTTAGCCAAGTTTCTTTTCAGATCAGGGTCTTCTGTCTCTAGGTTTCCTTTCCGCTGCTTATCACCCGAATTCCCTGCTGACAGTGTCTTTCCAGGCCTTTAATTATTTAGCTGTGTCCACCTAACATTTCCTCGTCACTCTGAAGTGTTCAGGTAGGCTCCTCAGTGTCTAACAGTATCCACCCAGGACCTCCACTATGTGTGCTGGCTCACCTGTTTCTTCCCTCCTCAGACCCAGCCCACCTTACCAAGTGCCTACCACACATCATGCTGTATTACATGCACACACAAATCCATGCACATACACGTGAGCACACTTTTAAAAATATATTTTTTAGTTGTAGGTAGACACAATATCTTTTTATATTTGTATGTGGTGGTGAGGATCGATGCATGATAGGCAAGCACTCTACCACTGAGCCACAATTGCAGCCCACATGTGCATACTTCTGACTACTCCTGAAGACCCTTCCTAAGTCCACATCTTTTCTGACACCTTTTCTGTTTACTCTAAGCATATGGCAGCTTTTACAAGTATATCCTATCCCATAACCATAATTTAATATTCATTTGTTCTCAAAATGCTTCCTGCATCCAGTTTTGTAAACTATTTTAGTTGGGGTCCCTAACTCATATGGGCCAGGTGGTAGCGAGGGCTTCATAAACTCTGTACTTTGTTAATCTTGATTAATCCATCAACAACTCCATTTTCTTTTGGAATGGGTAGCTGCAGAGCCAAGTTAGGATCTTTAGAAGCCCTAAATACTGTGTCATGTCCCCAAATATAATTTAAAACAAAGACAATGTCAATAAAAGGAGATGTCAAGTTCTAAACGACATCACTATCTGGTGCCACCAGCATGAGCATGGTCAGCATGCTGGTTAATTCATACTTGGGGGAACTCCTTCAGGTTGGTTTCTTGTAGAGAGCTAAAAATACAAGCTGCTTATGAAGTCCTCAGGAACTGCAGATGTCTGAAATTCCCAAGCTCACATTACATTCCTTTCACCCCTGCAATGAACTGTGAGTCTCTCCCTTAATTTCCTAGGCCAATGGAAATTCACTGGGTAAGGCCGCCTCTTCATCTGTGATCTAGTACCCACCAGATAGACACTAGTGGTCTTCCTGTTGCATTAGTATCTGTTGTTAATGCCCCTTGGGATTGGAAGGCTCATCACTGTGTTACCCATCTTTCCCATCTGAATGTATGTAGACGAAACTGGAAGTGAATACAGGGGAGATAAGCTACAAAAGCCAATTCAAGAAGGGCAGGGGCTGCTGGGGCTGGGGCTCAGCAGTAGAGCACTTGCCTGGCATGAGTGAGGCACTGGGTTCGATTCTCAGCACCACATGTAAATAAATAAAATAAAGGTCTATCAACAACCAAAAAAAGTGGGGGCTGGGGATGTAGCTCATTAGTAGAGTGCTTGCCTCGTATGCACATGCACAAGGCCCTGGGTTCAATCCCCAGCACCACAAAAAAAAAAAAAAAAAAAAAGAAAAGAAAAGAAAAAGAAAGGCAGGGGACCATAGAGGTGGTGCCAGCTACTTGGGAAGCTGAGGCAGGAGGATCACAAGTTCAAGGCCAACCTTAGCAACTTAGCGAGATCCTGTCTCAAAATAAAAATAAAAAGGGGCTGGGAGTATAGCTCATTGGTAGAGCATCCCTCAGTTCAATCCCTAGTATTGGGAAGAAAGGAGGAGGAGGAGAAAAGAAGAAGAGAGGGCACAGGCAATGGAGTGAGGTCATGTCTATTCCTTAACACCAGCCCTTGCTTGCTCTTCTTCAGGAGTTATGTTCTGAGGGAATTAAAGAGCCTTAGGGTTTTTTTTTAAATTTCATCTGCCCAACATAAGGAAGGGCAGATGAAATTTAAATTCTACCAAATGTAGAAGCCACTCACTCATTCCACAGGCCCATGGTCATGTTTGCAGATCAGTCAGTTTACAAGTACATTAATCATTTGCCCTTGTGGGACAGTCCTGGAAGCTGCTCAGGCAGGTTGGCACAGGCAGTGGAGGCTGTGATGCGCCATGAGAGGCTGGCTGAAGCACTGGGGCAGTGTCAGGAATGTATACAAAGGTGCCATGGTATCAGGGAGCAAACAGTGGCCTGGGAGCCAGGAAACCAGGTCGTGACAGGTTCACCAGCATTGGGTGTCAGTTGGGTGATCTCAAGAAAGCCTCTGTTTACCCATCTATCAAAAAAGGAGGTGAGCTAAGATTCCCTTCAGCTCTGGTTGTGACACTAATGTTCCCTCGTTGTTTGGATGCTTGTTACATACACCAGATGTCCATCCTCCCAACTTGGTGGCTAGGCTGCAGGAGACAAAAGGAGTTCCATTTGTACCTGTCCTCCAGAGTCTTTGTCCTGGCACCTTGGCCTGGTATCTGTTGGTATCTCCAAGTGAAAAGTTCTCAGGCAAGTGGCAGAAAAAGAGGTCATGACTGCTTTGGATTCCATGTGCTTGTCTGGCTTTGACTTGAGGACTGAAATTTACATGAAAAGGGCATCTGTTTAGTCAGCTTTTCATGGCTGTGACCAAAAGACTGACAAGAACAACACAGAGAAGGAAAAGTTTATTTCAGCTCCCAGTTTATAGATTCAGTCCATGATTTGCTGGTAGTTCTGGGCTAGAGKTTGGGCAGAACATCATGGTGGAAGGATGTGGCAGAACAAAGCAGCTCAGGATACGGCAACTAGGAAGCAGAGAGAGTCCTGCTCACCAGGGACAAAATATAAACTCCTGAGTCATACCGCTGGTAACCTACTTCCTTACAGCCCAGTGAATCCATATCAGTAGGTTAATCCACTAATGAGGTTTCACCTCATAACTAATCATTTCACCGCTGAAAATTCTCACATTGTCTCTCACAATGAGCTTCATGGATGCAAAGCACATTATCCATATCTCTCTTACTAAGCCTTGTGGAACTGTCTTTTTTGTCAGGCCACCCCAAGCATAAATCTATGGTTCTTCAGATGGCTTCACTGAAAAGCATCTTTTTTTTTTTTTTTTTTTTTTTTTTTGCCTTCAGTACTGAGGATTGAATCCAGGGGCACTCTACCATTGAGCTACATCCCCAGGTTTTTTGTTTTTTTTTTTTGAGACAGAGTCTAGTTAAGTTGCTCAGGCTGGCTTAGTACTTTGAACTTTTAATCTTCTGGCCTCAGCCTCCCAAGTTGCTGGGATTACAGGCCTGACCACTGTGCTCAGCAACAAAGCATCCTTTGATAGACTCACAGAATCTAAAGTCATCTAGAAGCAGGTCCCACTTGCCTTTCTTCAGGAGGGGATGACTATGCACTTTTACAAATGGCTGGAGGAAGAGATTTAATTAATTTTGAAAGTTGGAAGCCTTAGTATTTTCTTTACATGCTTAATTTGTAGGTAAATTAGAAAATGCAGAAAATGAAGATGAACACAAAAATTGCTCATCTTTTTATGACCTGCAGAGGAATAATCCCAAAATTTCCTGCTGGGTGATTAAGACAGTGGAGGGGAACAACACTGAGGAGGGCAATGGAGGATCAGCCTCAATTTGTTGACTGTCCCTCTTCCTGTTTCCCCCAAACCTGTGTATGGCTCCTGACTGTCTTGTGTGCAGGGTCTGAGCATGGCAGCCAGCTCCAGTCCAGGCCCTGGTGGAGGAAGCAAAGGGATGTGTGAAGAACAGAAGGGTCAGGGGGTTGTCCTGCTGCTCCTGGAGCGGCCTCTCCAGATGTTCTCCCAAAGGCATTCTGATGTGACTGCTCTGCAAATACTTCTCTGGCCTGAGGGTTAACTAACTTTGTCAGAAAGGAGAGCCCCTCTAGCCCTGTCCTTGGCCAGATGGATAATAAGTGGATTTCCAGAGGCACCAGGACCCTTGTTTTGGCTCTATTCCCTCACAGGCCTGCAGGCTGAGGTGCTGCTGGTGCTTTTTCTTTTCTTTTTTCCTTACAGTACTGGGATTTGGACCTAGGGGTGCTCTACCACTGAGCTACATCCCCAGCCCTTTGATTTATTTTAAAAGAGGGTTTCATTAAGTTGCCCAGGCTGGCCTTGAACTTGCAATTTTTCTGCCCCAGCCTGTGTACAAGGTGAGAGTAGAAGTTTTAACCTGATTACTGGCTCTGCTGATGCTTTTGATAAATTCTGCTCTCTCCCAAGATACTGGTTTGGTGCTTTGACTGTCTGCTTAGGATGTTGACTCTGGTGATGGGATCCTGGAAGCTCTCCCCTTGATGATACATAAGCCATCCTAGAGGCTTGTCCAGTTAAAGGGGTAGATAAAAAGTCTAATCAGTCAGTGGGTGGTAAACAGGAAGTTGAGTAGGTACCTCAAAGGAAGTATGGACTTTGAAACAGGAAGAAAGAAAAAGGTCTGGCCTGGGCACGAGAAAGAACGCTGGATGCTGACAGACTTCAGAGAAAGGTTTGCCCTGTGACTGTCAATGTGGCCAGATGCTGGCTTAGATCCATGGGTGCCAGACTCCTGAGGCTCTTGTTCTGTCTGTACATTATAATCAACTGGAAATCTTTTAAGGGAGTTCAGTTCCCCAGAAATTCTGATTAATAGTTTTGGATTGATGCTTGGACAAAAAAGTTTCATGAAATAATACTTAGACTATATAGTACACTCTGACATTTTCTAGTTTATTCAATTTCATTGAAAAAGAAGCTGCTTCTATTCCAGTAAATTGACCTCAAGATTGCTAATGGACTATAATCCACCATCTGAAGCTGCTCTTCTGTGTGTGCTAATTCTGCAGAGGCTGGGAGCTATAACCTCCCTCCTCGGGCTCCCCTGCTCCTAGGGCTCTGTATGATTTAGGTCTGTGGCAAGTTCTGGAAGGTCCAAGGGAGATAGAAGCCCTGCCACAGAGCTTTGCTCCTGACCCTCCTGGAAGCTTTCTGAACCAGGCTGTCACGGGAGGGAGCCATGGATCTGGGTAAAGTGGGAGTAGGTACCACAATAATCAGCTGTCTGCAAGGGCCAAATTTCCTTAGGATATTTACAAAAAAGAATTTTGTGAACACACTAAGAAAAAGAAGGTTATAGACCAAGTAGCTGAGAAAATTTGGTAGAAAAAGCAAGAAACACAACAGGAAGCCACTCGGCTTCTCTTTCCTGCTAGTGCCTACCCTAGTCCGTGATGAGACTGAAGTCACTTCCCTAAGTTCTGCTATGAATTGGGTGTTTCCTAAAGTCCCATATTTTGAAGGCTTGGTCCCCAGCTCGTGGTACTATTGAGAGGTAGTGGGGCCTTGGAGTGAGTTAAGTCACTGGTGTGCCCTTGAAGGGGATATTGGGACCCCATCCCCTTCCTCTTCTTATCTTTGCTTCCTGGCTGCCATGAAGTGAACAGTTCCTTCCCCTACATGCTTCCACTGTGATGTATTATGCTGCCACAGCCCAAGAGCCACAGAGCCAACTGTTAATGGGCTGACCAACAGTCAAAAATAAACTTTATCCTTTTTTTTTTTTTTTTTGGTGTTACAGGGGATTGAACCTATAGGGTCTCTATCACTGAGCCACATCCCCAGCCCTTTTTATTTTTTTTGCAGTGCTAGAAATTAATCCCAGGGCCTCATGCGTGGTAGGCAAATGCTTTACCAATGAGCTGTATACAAAGCCCTTTATTTTGAGACAGGGTCTTGCTAACTGCCCAGGCTGGCAACTGCCTCAACCTCCCAAGTTGCTGGGATTATAGGCATGCACCACCTAGCTAACCTTTCCTCTTTATAAGCTGAGTATTTTTCACAGCAACAGAAAGTTGACTAACACACCTACTAATGGCAAGTAATCCAGGCCCAGGGGTAAGTGTTGAGGACACAGAAGTGAATAAAACAGATAAACACCCTGGATGACCAACAGTAAACAGACAAGCAAGTGAATGCCGTGTGTCTAGTGGGTCCAAGTACTAGGAAAGAAATAGCAGCAAAGAGGCGGGAGAGGGAGAAGGAGCATGGGGGTGGGAGGGCTGCTGTTGTGAGTAGGATGATCGCTGCCAGGTGGCAAATAGGCAGAGACTGAAGGGAGGAAGTGGACAGTGTCCAGTAGGGAAGTGTGAGGCAAAGGCCTGTGGCTGGAGCAGGCAGACTGAGCATTGGAGGCATCTGTGCAGCAGCAGCACAGTGTGTGTGGGAGCTGGGTGGATGAGGGCTCAGGGAGGTAGTGGGCAGGTCATTTAGATCCTCATCTGCCATGGTAAGGCCTTTGTTTCTTACCTAGAGAGCAGTGCAAAGCCCTTGGAGGGCTGTGGTGGAGATATAACATGAACTAACTTGATGTTGTAAAACATTATGTTCATGGTTATTCTCCTGAGCACAGATTGTAGGGTGATGGCAGTGAAGCAGGGTGCGCAGGTAGGAGTAGGAGTCACTAGGCATCATGCAGGTGACTTTGATCAGAGATGACAGTATCTATGGAAAGAATTAGAAGTGGGATGAGAGGGAGTGCATCAATATGAATTTTAAAGAAGCTGAGAACACTAGTTTCTTTCTAAACAGCTGCACAAGAATTGAGGTGGCATACTGCAGAGAGACCCATTGGTTATAAGAGTAGCAGCCACTTCCTCCATCCATCTTTGGTGGATGCCTTGAAGAGCCTGTATGAGGTCACTGTGACCTCCCTGAGCATCAGTTCAGGGTCAGTGCATAGTTCAAAAGTATTGGACTCAACAAAACAGCCTTCCAGAAAGATCCACTATGCTGAGGGACAATTACCAGACAGACTTCATTTTAAGTAGAAAGTGGCCCCTAGGCTGGGTCCTAGCAGTGTACAGTGGTGCCATCCAGCGGTGGGAAAAAGGTGGGTGAGGAGGGGGGGAGAGAGAGAGAGAAGGAAGAAACTAGTTTTCAAATTCAGGGCTGATGACCACTGCTACACATAAGAACCTAGGAAAGTTCCAGTGTGGTTTACTTATAGGTACTGAGCATGATATCGTCCAGTGTGGGAGGAAAGCATTTACTACATTTCCCAGATTCCCATGTTTCTGTGTATTGACAATTAAATTTCTGTTCTTTCCTCCATTTCCATAAACTGTGAAGGGCTCCATTGAGGTGAAGGGTAAAACCCCCCTCAGGAAGGCTTCCTGAGTCAAATCAGCCCAGCCTGGAGCTGACTAAGACTCCAAACTGAGTGACCAGTTTATTCTGATTTCTAGGACTTACCAGATTTTAGCACCAAAAGTCATAATTCTAGAGACCCTTTTTTTCCAGGCCAACCAGGGCAGTTGATCACTTTGACCTCCAGCTAACCTTTGTGCCACAGACTTGGTGACAGCTAGATGTGTCCTGAGAATCAGTTAAAAACCTCATTCATGATTGAAAAATAAAAAAGAAAGAACCCAAGTTAATTTTATGGCTGTGGACTACCAACCTGAAATTATGGAAGATATTTTCCTAATCAATTTTGCTAGACTGGATTTATTAGAAAATCAAAACAAGAATTTTTATCATCAACTTATTGCTTCATAACAGCAAAGTAATCTCAATCTGATTTTCTTTGTGAAAAATTTAGACTCGAGTGTCATCCCTTTATAATAAAAATGAGTCAGCATGCACTCTCTCAGACATCAAATCTGCTATTGTCACATCATTTCCTGTGGCCTAGATATAAATGGAGAATGATAAAGGGAATCTACTTCAAGCTGAAATCATGTTTTGTTTAAATCCTGGATTATATATAAAAGCTTTTTCATGGAAAGCATTTGAATGAAGTGAAAAGGTCATACTGTCACTACTGCTTTATAGGAAATAGATGTCTTAACTGTATAAACTTTTAAAAATCCACTTTGGAATGAACACCAATAAGTTAAATCCTAATCCATATTATAGAAGAGCCAACTCTACTTAGCAATGAGACAGTCCTTTTTCTCTCCGAGGCAGTGTACTTTCTCTGTTTTTATAACAACTAATGAGTGACTGTTAATGCCTTTTGAAAACTAGGCAGTGAAAAATAAAAAACTTGAATGTCATAACATTTGAGTTTAATAAATAATAAAGAAATTTAACCTCTTTAGTGACAGGAAGATGAAGATCAAGACTACAATGAGAGACACATTTGACCCCTATTTGGCTGGCAGAAATGAAAAGGTGAGATAATTTCACATCTTGTTCAAAATGTGGGTTAAAAAGGTCCCTTATAAATTGTTAGTGGGAGTGGAAATTGAGTACCTTGGAGATAGTTTGGTATTATCTTGTAAAATTGAAATTCACACATCCTAAAATCAGCAATACCATTTGTAGGTGTAGGTGTGTTACTGAGAGAAACAGATGTTAGATGTGATGTTCATAATAATAATAATAATAATAATAATAATAAACACTTTGATAGGAGGATAAATAATTCTTGGTATGTTAACTCAGGGGACATATGTTTATATTTATTTTGTAGTACTAGGAATTTAACTCAAGGATGCTCTACCATTCAACTATACCCTCAGCCCTTTTTTATTTTTGAAATAGGGTCTCACTAAATTTTGGAGGCTAGCCTCAAACATGCCATCCTCTTGCCTCAGCCTCCCAAATAGCTGGGATTACAGGTGTGCACCACCATGGCCTTTATTATTTTTTGCAGTACTGGCAAATTGAACCCAGGGGCGCTCTGCAACTGGGTTACATCCCCAGCCCCCTCCCCCCTTTTATTTAATATTTTTAATATTTATTTTTTAGTTGTAGTTGGACACAATATATTTATTTATTTTTATGTGGTGCTGAGACTCGAACCCAGGGCCTCACACATGATAAGTGAGCACTTTACTGCTGAGCCACAATCCAGCCCCTTTTTAATTTTTTGATACAGGGTCTCGATGAATTGCCCAGGCTGCCTCAAACTTGTGATCAATCCTCTTGCCTCATCCTCCTGAGTACATGGGATTACATGCATGTGCCACTGCACCTGGCTTGCATCAGCATTTTAAAAAAGGAAAAGCCACTCAATCCAGGAGACATGCCTTTAAGGAGATGGAAAATATTTTAATGCCAGCAGTTGGCATTCTATTGTAAAGAAGAGCTTTCCTCCCCATCAACATTTTGACATGTTATTTTGTTATTTATAATAGTAGTTATATTATCAGCATGGACTCAGGGATTTTAAAAATTATTGTTCCATGTGTTACAACTTATTTGGGACATTATTCCTTTTGATGCTCAAATTGTTCCAAATTTGGCTGGGAGCTTCTTGGAGCTGGCTATTGTGCTCTTTTGGTACATCCTCATCATTTTTTTGAGCTCCCCTTTATTTATTTATTTTTGTAGTACTTGGGATGGAATACTAGGGTGCTCTATGACTGAGCTATATCTCCAGCCCTTTTTAATTTTTATTTTGAGAAAGGGTCTTACTAAGTTAACAGAGCTGACCTAGAACTTGTGATCCTCCTGACTCAGCCTCCAGAGTCTCTAGGATTACAAGGCATGCCCACCATGCCTGGCATTGAGCTCTTTAATTCCTGGTGTAATCAGATGTTGCAGGCTTGACTTGCACTTCCCAGTCTCAGCCTGGGATCAGCCACTCCTCAAAGAAACTGCTTGCTTTTAGTGGAAAATGATACTTAGAAGCCAGGATCTGGGCTTTCTTGCTTCTGGGATATCTTTGCAGATGTAGAAAACATATTTTTAAAAAACATACATTCACTTATTAGAGTAAATAAATCTTAAAAAAGTAAAATAGTGTTAAATTCATACTGATCTCTTATTCCAGTTCAGCAACACACAGTTTACCAACACACAGTTCTTGTTCTCTCCTTTCCCCTTTCATATCTGTATTTCCATTTATTTTTATGTTTTCCCTCGGAATATTGTCTTCATCTTGGATCTCCTTTGCTGCTGGCTGTATTCATTAGAAAAATAACATTCCTCAGGATAACAGCTGACTTCCACCCCAATGAGCGATGGCACCGTGTAGAGAGAGATCACACATTCAGTACGTCTTCCTGGGACTTTATAAAATATGCCGGAAGGAGAGTCTGGAAGTACCACTAGCAATATTTTATGCTCTTTCAATTATGGCATAATAAGCGTATATAATTTTGATAACAAAAAGGATACTTCAAGGCAAAAGAGAGAGAGAGAGAGAGAGAGAGAGAGAGAGAAGCCTATACAGACTGAATGTTAACCCTTAAGGCCTATCTATACCTGTTGGGAGTCGGGCATTGCGGGGAGGGAGATGAAGAAATATAGGAGAAGACCAAGGACCAAGAGACGGGGACAGCGCGGGGCGCTCCCGCAGAAGGTCAGGACGCTGTCTGTTCAGGGACCTCCCCCCTCCATGCTATGGGGATACTGAGGCGCCCCCACTAAAGTCTCCCGCGATGAAGTCAGGGGGCCTCACTGTGCTGCACTGCAGAGCATCCCTCCGGAGGTCAGCCGAGGACTCGCGACGGCGGCGGCGGCGGCGGCGGCGGCAGGAAGGGGCGGGGCCTGGAAAGGTTAATCCGCGCGGATTGGCTGCGGCGCGCGGTGCACGAGCCAGTCATCGCGCGCCTCGCCCCGTCGCTGTCGCGCCGCACGCCGTGTTCACGTGCTGCCGCGCCCTGCCCGGCGTGCACCGCGCCGCCTGCCGGTTCCGTGAGCACGGCGTGGACATGGAGCGGGCCTGGCGTGGCCTGCCGGCTGCCTGGTCTCCGCGCCCTCCTCCTGCGGTCAGGTGTTTTCCTGGCCGGGGGTTATTTTCTGAGAACCCTTGGGAGCCACTGTGCTTTGTAAACACTCTAAATGAGTCGGACAGGTGCCGAGTCTCCGAGTTGGGTGGGGCCGGGATGGGCGTGCGAGCCGCGGAAGAGGAAAACAGTTACTGGGAGTTTCTGTTGTTGCGCTGGGGCGTCTTGGACCGGGGAGGTTGCGTAAGAGCACGGAGTGTGTTTATCTTCGGCGTGAGAGTAATACAACTGTTTGGCTCTAGGGTGATGCGCATCCGCGGCTGGTGGACACAATGTTGTGAATAACATCCGTGTAAACCACCCACTGAGACCCCCCGGGAAGAGAGTGGGGGCCAGAAAGCACAGCTGTGTTCTGGGTGCAAATTCTGAGAACCCACAGTCTGCTCCTAGCCCCTGATTTGGGGTCCAGACCCCCGCCAAGGACCTAGAATGAATTGGGTGTGTGGCAACACCCGAGTTTTCTTAAAGAGGGCCTGAAGTTGATTTGGGGAGAGTTACTAAGCTGGGGAGGGGTCAGGAAATGTCATGTGAAGTGTAGTTGAAAGAAGTGGAGATATTTAACCCAGACAAGGCAGCACTTAGGGACATGTGACCTATGTCTGCTAGTATTGGAGAGACTGTGTAAATAAGAGGTTAGACTAATCTCAAGAGGTTAGACATCTTGTTCTCCCTCTGGACAAAACAGATTTTTAAAATTATTTTACAAGAGGTGAATTTGAGGTCAGTTATAAATACTGAGTAGAAATGAATACTTAGGAAGTTAGATCCTGGAGCCAGGTACTGCTAGATGTTTTCACTTACTAGCGAGAGAATAGTGGAGCTGAGATTCAACTTTTTTCATTTGCCAAACTCCAAAGCCTGTGCCTTTCCAGGATGCATCTATTTCAATAGAAGAGGTTACTTTGTGAATAATGAAATAGCAGAATGGTTTCTGGATTGATGAATCACACTGTATTGGAGGATTTGTCTGCCTCTGTTAACCTGTGTGATGTTTATCTCAGGTAAAGAGGGAGATTGTCCTGGGCTAGGGGAAGATGCCAGGGCTGGTTACTTAGATGGAGGAGGCATCCAGTCTCACTAGAAAGTTAGACCTTCATTGGTGGATATCTTGTTCTTATAAGTCCTGTAGCAGTTACTAGAGTAATCTTGACTTTGAGTTTAACAAATGTGATCATAGTTATCTCATTGCCTTCCATTTATCTCATTTCCTCCTAGCCTACTCCTCAACCCTCACCCTGACACTTCTTCCCTTTTTCCTCCCCATCTGCCTTTATCAGACTAGAAATGAGACCCATCTAAGGACCAGAGTGAGTAAATTTTACCTGACTACAGTGTAGCCTTTAGGTAACACCATATATAGCAACCTGTAAATTCAGGGAGAAATGCCCATACTGGTTTGATTCAGCTCTGTGGTCCCCTGGGGTGGGACATTTAAGACTTAGCCTGAAAACAACAACAACAACAAAAAAGTCATAATAGAATAAGAGCAACTAAAAAAAAAAAAAAAAAAGACTTAGCCTGTATGGATGCATAATGGAGATAACCTTCTATAAGGGTTTGAATTTAATTTGTTTTATGAATTAAGAGCTTCATACTTTGTTTTTTTAATTTATTTTTAATTTTTTTGTGGGGGCAGTGGGGGTTGGGGATTGAATCTGGAGGTGCTCTATCTTTGAGCCACACCCCTAGCCCTCCACCCCTTTTTTTGAGACATCATCTGACTACGTTGTTGAGGCTGGCCTCAAACTTGCTGTTCTCTTGCCTCAGCATCCCAAGTAGCTAGGATTGTAGGATTACAGGTGTACACCACTGTGCCTGGCTAATAGCTTYATAGTTTCTGAAGACAAGCAATTTAGAAGTCTTTTTTTCAAGGGGAATGGAACTCGGGAACACTCGACCACTGAGCCACATCCCCAGCCCTATTTTGTATTTTATTTAGAGACAGGGTCTCACTGAGTTTCTTAGCACCTCTCTGTTGCTGAAGCTATTTTTGAACTCTTGATCCTCCTGTCTCAGTCCCCTGAGCTTCTGGGATTACAGGCCTGCACTACTGTGCCTGGCTAAAAATCATTTGGTCTCTACTGTGGTTAATTAAGTTGTCAAATATAAACTATTTTAACATCCATTGGAAGAAGATGGGAGTTACAGTATGTGTATAAAGAGGAAATACCTGTTTTTTTCTTGGTTCCTGGCAGGCCTGGTTACAGTTTCTTATCAAGGAAATGCCAACTAATTCCTTTTCCTCTGGAGGGATGTGCTCAAGGCAGTTTTGGTGTCTAGTCCTGTCTCTGCACTGAGCACTACTTTAAGAGCTCCACAAGGTAGTTCTGAAGATTCTCTTTCCTTCCTTTCTGGAGGTCTCCTGTATTATTCATTCTTAACCCCCTTGGTCTCTTTCCTATCCTCTGCTCTCAGGGTATTAAGGAAGTAGAGATACACTGAGGCAGCCACACCCAGCCCTAAGCAATACTGTAGAGAAGGTGAAATGGTGTTTCTGTTTCTACTGCCTCTTTCTCCCCTTGGAAAGTCCCAAGATTTTTCTTCTTTTTCTGCTGTCAAGAGTCCATATTCCTTATTTGTATCATCTTTGAATAGTAAATAGTTGTTTAGTTTGCAGATTGATCTCTAAGGTTGTTAACCCTAAGATGATGTTAATGACGGGCTTTAGGACATCAGCAGTTTAGAGGTGTTGGGACCTAGGTTTAGTCACATTGTGTTATTTCCCTTGCCTGACCCACTGTTCATTTTCATACAAAAGGGCAGCTCAGGTAGGGACAGCCATGGAGATGGTGGGAGGCCTAGATAGTAATGAGTCAGCTGAACTGTAGAATCTTCTGCTCTGCTCCCACTTACTGAGGTAGATTCCTGGTCATGCTGACCATTTTGTATTCATGAGCCATCATGAAGTGTGCTGCCTCATACATGTATAAAGGTAGGGATTTGTTCAATAGGATTGAATTCCAAGTTTTGTGGTAGAATGCATATAAAAGAGGCAGAATGGTGGAATGTTGAATATAGGCCTGGAGTCAGCTTCCTGAGTTCAGGTAGGGCCCCACTTCTAAGCAGCTGTGTGGGTTTAGAGAATGTCCCTAGTCTCTCTGCTTCAGTTCCTTAATCTGCCAGTCTCACAGGGTTGTGAGGATTAAATGAGCTACTATACACCAGGTGCTTCAGCCTCCTTGCAGATGCTTGGTGCTTTCTCAGTGGTTATTTCCAGTCTTAAGAGGAGTTCACAGTCCACCAGTGACAGTTCTTCAGTTTCTGCAACCACCTTCTTTATGTGAGTTTAATGGCTGGGAAATAAAAAGACAGGATGGTGAGCACAGCAGCTGCCCCTGCCCCTAGGTATGAATTGTTTTTTCATTTAGCCTCCTTGAAGTGGGGGAAAGGGGTGAAYCAGGCCATCTCTAGTGTCTAAAAACTTTCCTCATTCCTCCCAAAGTGCCTCTTCTTGTCTTTCCAGAAGTTTTCTAACAGGATCTCCATTCTTGAACTTCTTGAAACACTGACCTGCTTGGGCAGTAGATAAACCAGGTGTGGGAGTAGAGAGCGAGCATCATCTCCATTTTTTCTCTTGGTCTTGAAGAAGTATAATGTGGTCTTCCTGGCTACAAAGCAGGGCAGAATCTTAGTTTTTTTTTTTTT